CTGGAGAGCATGGGGCAAGGAAGGTAGCAGAGCTCCCAGTGAGCTGGGAAATCACCAGGGCTGCCAGAGTCTATGGGGCAGGGGCCCACACCCAATGGGGCCAGGAAGGAGGGCATGCAGAGCCCACAGCTGGTGCAGCCAGACAGCCAAGGGCAGTGGTGCCAGTTAATTGAGGAGAGGAGCCCAGCAGAGAAGCTGGCACCTCTCCCTAGCCTTCTCTGGTCCAGAAAACTCCCTTGTCTGGGACCAGTCAGGTCCCAAAGGAGCCAGACCAGGGAGGTCCAACCTGTAGTATTTAATTCAAAGTCAATCCTATTGACTTCATAGTCAATATTATGGGGTCAAACTGCTGGCATGCCTCAGCTTGTACCCAGCATACAACAGGGAACTCAGCACAACGATAATTGCCTAGTAGAGTTGGTAAATGACTACAACCTAATTGCTACAATAGCAGAATAATTTCATAGCCCTGCATTTCTAGTATACTGAAGTACTTCACTTTGTAAGGCACCCAGCTTCCACCAATTCACAAAGTGAACATAACACAATTTTTGCTTCCAAAACCATTACATTTTGAAGGCAATAGCAAGAATGTATTAAATGTTATTTACCTCCTGATCAATGTTATGAAGCATAGCTGGATTGTTGTATTTTTCAGGATTATCATGGAAACAGACCATACCATCTTTCTGATTAATACTTGCAAAGATTTCACCATCTTCTATCTGAAATAGGAGAAACCGTTTGTAATACAAAGGATTAACCTGAACACAGAAAAGGGGGAAAAAAGTTTATATAGCCCACAGTGATGATTCAAACACTGATCTTGAATATATTCTAGAACTTAAGAAAACCAAGATGAATTCCTTCCCAACAGTCTACTCAGAGGAATGTAGAAGACAGACATTACTGATGCTTGGTTTGGACTAAAGCAGTTGTAATTTTTTTAGGCTGCTGCCTCCTACCCAAAAAAAGTCTTCTATGACCTCTTATTTGCACTTTACAAAAGTCCTACAGCTGGACAACTGAGGACTGCCACTGCTAAGTCAAATATTGACTGGTCACGTCAGAATGTCAAACTATAGTTCTTAAAGCTATTTAATCCCTTTTGCAATTAAAAGCCATTTTAGTCAAGTAACATTCCTTACCATGTGAAGGACATATTTTTCTGCTTCCTGTGGCCCCGATAGCTGCACTCTACTTGCCATATCTTGTAATGAGAGGGTTAAAAATGTCTGAAATATAGTAACACAGCAAACCATGATCATCAGAAGCTATATGCTGTTCCTATGAGTCCTTTGTGAACTATGTAACTGAACTTTTTAAACTGATCTGTTGACTAATAATGGTGGGAATATTCATAATAGGCAGGTACAAAAATATCATGGAAAGATGTGTCTTTTCAATAAAAACTGATATTTTATATTGCTAGGTGAACAACTGGGTAACTTATTAGAATGATCTGTTTACGAGTCTTTCCTTCCTAAGGGAAGATAGATGATGTCTAGCTTCCCTTTTCCCCATGCATGCTCTCTGCCAGATTTTCATACAGCTCTTTCTTCACAGAGACTTATCCATTGTTTTACTTCTGGAGTCCATTTTGCTCTCATAGTAGAATCTCAGAATTAGGAACACTTTGGGATTGGAGATTGTTCATAACTCTGAAGTATTCATAATGGAATAAAACATTATGGCTGTTCTTTCAAAAGTTTACAACTGACCGCGACTTAATACAGCTTTGAAATTTTACACTGCAGATGAAAAATGGTGTTTTGCCTTTGTTTTTAGTAGTTCACATTTAACAATACTGTACTGTATTTTCTTTTGCCTGTCTCTGCTACTTCCTGATTGACCAGTCAACCACATACTTCATTTGGAACTGAAATTGCACAGTTTGTAACTATGGTGTTTGTAACTTAGAGGTTCTACTGTACATTATATGTCTGTGGCACACACCATTTGAGTTAATTTAAGCAAAAGAGCATCCCATCTTTCCCTGATCACTTCTAGGAACCAATTAGCTCTCTACTCAGAGTTACATATTTAACTGACTCCACTGGACAGTCCCACCAGACCGTAGGTTTCCCTACCTTCCTCTTTTCTACTTCAGAACTGTGATCAAGTAAAGTTCAGTTTTCCACAAAAGACAGCAAACCTGAAGATCAGGGCATGGGTGACATTCTTACTGACTTTTGGCTACATATAAAAGTTGTGGGCAAGTTCTCAGCAGCTATAAGTCAGCGCAGGCCACTGATTTCTATGGTGTAGTATGCCAGTTTACTCCAAGGACTGGAAGCATTGGCAAAGAAGGAGGCAGGCAAGTTGATATATATATGCAACTAGCAGGTGTACTCAGCATTGTTGGGGTCCTTAATTCTTAAATAAAAAGGAAATATATGCTTTATTGAATGACTTTCAAATTGAATGTTTTTATTAAATTAATTTTAGTAAATTTTTAAAATGGGAATTCCATCAGGTGTAATTTTTTCTTCATTTTATTCGCTATGTTTCAACAAAAAAAGTGCTAGTCAATTTTGTTTCTAACAGCGTGATCTTCTAATTTTCAAGCATTAAGCATTGATTTAGCTGTGCCAAAACAGAGCACTACTCCAAATTTCTCCATTTTATCTCTTTTCTATAACGTTTATTGAGATGCAATCCTATCCCATGTTCATCCTATTTTTCTGGCTAATCTTGAGTTAGTCTCTTTCAATATTCGCTGAGTTATATCAGTTTTGAAGACCGTACTTGATTTGGTGATTCGGTCTCTTTTCTGTTTGGTTTTATGTGAAGCAATCCATTTCCAGGCACATCACATTTTCCGGGTACAACCAAACCCTTACGTTGCTGTAAGTTATCATAACAGGAAGCTGTATACCAAATTTGGTAGTCCTAACTCTTACAGTTTAGGAGGAGTTTGATCAAACAGCCAGCCAGACTCTCTCAAATATATAGTAGAAATGGTTAATTTTAATAGCTCATTTTCACGTCAGTAGCATTATATTCCACAGATGCATTTACTTAAAAAATGCAACTACTTTAAAAAGTGACTATTACAGATATAATCAATGTACTATATACTGATTCAATCAGACAAGGCACTATTTTTAGATTAACTCTTCCAGATAGTGTGCTAAATCCAAAAAGCCTGGATAACTGATGCCAAAAGAAAACAGCATCTTACCTTAGTTAACCTCTGTATATTCTTTTTATAAAGAGATGACAAGCACTGCTTAACCAGCCCCATATTGTTATCTCTGGTGAATGTTTCACTATGTTTGTTGACCAGGTTTCGGAGCTCTGATGGTTTATTGGTTGAATAAACTTGTGCTAATTCATGGTACGCATTGCTAAGAGGCTGCAATTAGGAAAAAAATATTTAAATGTATCTGGAGTTCAATCTTGCAACATTTGTGAAGGTTATTTTAAGCCACCCTTATTATCAACACTATAAAGTTATTGTTTAAAAAGGGCCTCAGATCCCCAGTATATTAATGCACTTAATTTTCCACTTGTCAAGATCTAGATTTAAAGCATGTAGAGCACAAATTAAGTTGATTTGGTGATTTCAACTTAGTTACCAAACATCTGTTGAGATCACAAAAACATAAGAGTCATATTGTAGGCTCCTTGAGGCAGAGGCTCTCTTTGCAACCGATTATTTAAGCCACAGGGGGCAAGTTCATGCTTAGGGCCTTTACATACTGCTGCATATTAAATAGCCACATTTAGAATCTCTGCACAATAAACTCAATTATTTGTTATGGCATTTCTGAAATTCAAGTACTGATCAGCCATGTGAAACTAGAGGGTTTGTATTCTTTCAGGACACGGAGACCACACAGAAAAAGCTAATAACCTAACAAGTCTTGCTTAGTATCTAGCAAAAGTAGAAGGCTAGTGAGTTCACTAGGTGCATTACTAAGAAATCACATTAATAAATGTCAAATCAGGTTTTGCCTGGAATCCATTTCCATTTAAGATGTAAAAACACTGTTACAACATACAGAACTGCATAAAAGATCCAATGAAGATAGAATTTTGGCAAACTGCTACTTTTTATTCTGAATGTATAGTTCAGATTGTTGTTTCAACTGCCTTTGAAACTTACCTTAATGAATCTACCCACTATCTGAGAGGTGTACTTCGGTAGCTGTTGAACTTTGCCAAGTAGTATCAAAGAAACTAGAATGTACTTTTTATACGATTCCAACATAATATGACTGACTGCCATGGCTGGAGTAGTTATTGCCTAAGCAAGAGAAAGAGTTAGGAATTAAAAGTGAATGTCACTGACAAACTGTATTAAAAATCATTCCTAGATTTAAAACTCCATATGTAAAAGGGATGTTCTGGAACATATAATTCACCAGTGTGTGTTAAGTGCTAGAGACATGAGTTAGTTTTGGGAGAATTATTCCGAAGCGCATAAAACGAAGCTTCTGTACCAATTGCTCAAAACCAGAACATAAGATGATGTATAATGAAACTGGTTTTAAAATGACCCCAAACAAGGATCAAAACCAAAACTTTTTAATTTAGTAGTGGTGGACTTTAAGAACAGATCAAGAACTGTAGTTGAAACCTTTGAGAGCCTTTGAAGAGATAGATTACTTGCAGGAGATGTTGACTACTGAAAGTCATTAGGTCAATTTCCATAGGATTTTTATGCATTATAAATATGTACAGAAGTTTTGCAAGGCTTTAGATCATTCGTTTGTACAGAAACAATCATTTAAATTCAAGTGTGCCAAAAAGGTTAGCAGGAAAATCAAGTTAAATCCCTTTCGTCTCAAGGTTTTACCACCTGCTAAAACACATACAGCAATTACCAGAAAAGCAGGGGAAAAAAGTTTACTTCTTTCATCACTTTATTTTGTGCCTTTGACAGCATGTTATCGTCTATGGAATTTCTCATTTGTGGGCCTTTCACAAAGCAGCAAGGGGGGAAAAAAAGCCATTTCCCAATCATTAGAAAAATGAGTGGCTACAAACACCAAAAATTAGTACAAGTTGAACCTCTCTGGTCTAGGACTCTGCTGGACCACAGATGTTGTTGGACCAGAGAACCCCCACAAAAAGGGACAGGGAAGGGACGGCAGCCCAGCAGCCAACAAGGGCTGGGAGGGCAGCCCACCCAGCTCTGCAGCTCCTGGTCCCAGTGCACAGTCCGGCTGGCTACTGCTAGGGACCAGGAGCAGGGTAACAACCAGAAGGGGAGCCAGCCAGGAGGCCAGCGCCTCTGGGAGAGCCCTCACCTCCCCTGGTCCAGCAAACTCCCTTTTCCGAGACCTGTCAGGTCCCAAGTGTGCCAGACCAGGGAGGTCCAACCTGTAGTGGTCTCGGGCAGGGGTACTAGCTGAAACCACTAACCTGATTTTTTTACCATGCGATTTTAAACCTAAATATATATGTTTACAAAAAAGTTAGTTTGTGAACTGTTACCATCCACTACAAAATAAGAAATAAATGGCCATCCAAAAAAAAAAAAAAGTTTAAAATGAGAAGAAAAGTGACTCGAGCATTTGGTACCCAGATTCACTTATGTGATTTTCTAGGTATGTGACCAGATCCCTTGAGGGATTTTATGGTGCAGAAACACCTGGATTTTTGGCTGGAAATGAATAACAGGTCGTCATTTGCCCCATTCAATTTTTCCTCTTATAGAGCCCTGATTTAGACAGAAAAGAATATAGCAAACCCTAGAATAACTGAATACACACCTAACTTTGATTTGCTAGATAACTTATATGTGGTGCACAGAAATAAAACTAACAGCGAAATATATTTGTGGAAAGCACTCAAATCCTGGGATGATAAATATACCTATCCTAGAGTTTTGTAACACAAGCACAAAAATAATGATAAAAATAATGTACCGTATCCTATGAAAAGAGACATAACTAAGTTTAAAAACCCTATGCATACAGTTTTGGTCTTTCAGCCAATCACACTTCTGATTTTCGCACAGATTTCTGATTCAGATAGTTACCTGTTCATAGAAGTAGAGTGCTCTTTCAAAGTTCTTTAGCCCAGTGTATATCATTCCACCATAGTAGTAGTAACATAAAAAGTGCTTTGCATCATATGCCCCATTCTCTTTACAAATATCCATCATGTCCACATCTAGATACGGGAGGGCAGGTTTAAAGCATTTTGCTAACAAACAGAGCTAAAAGAAAATAAACCAGCATTACACAGACAACTCTATTCAATAAAAAAAACCTAAAATTCAGTTAAGTACCATTTCTTAATCTTAATGTATTCTATTTGCAAAAATACAAATAGCAACAGACTCCAGAAATTTGTGCAATTCCAGTAGCATTTGACTATAGGTGGGTCTCAAACATTATGATATTGCAAGAGCTACCAACACCACTGATGAGCCATTACAAGTTGTGTTAAAATAACTCCACCCTAATTCACAAAGCTGCCTGAAACATTCTACCCAAGCTAGCCTGCTGGCAGCACAAAGTGCCACAAGGGACATCCCAGTTCAGGCCCCAGGCCTCCAAGAAAATTCAGCCCGGAGACTTTGGATGAGACACAAAAGTATCTCATGCCATTGTTAAGCAAGCCTCCTCTGAATAATGTTCAACAATGATGTCTAGCTCTGGAAGGAGCAGTGTGCTGCCCTCCTCAGTAAGAGGAAAGATGACCTCCATCCAGGATTTGCAGAAGTGATGGAGGGGACCAAAATAAAAGATCCAAGAGGATCCACGACAAATCCAATTCTAATGGATTTAAAATGTCATCACATCTTATGGTTTATTGTTGTCATAAAGCCCATTATAGTTTGTACCTATCTTTTATTTGAGAGGAATGAAGCACACGTTCAGCCATTACAAAAAGGAATTGGCCCAATTCAAAGTTTTTACTCTTGGTATAAGCCGGATATAATTTTTTACCTGGCAGAGATCTGCATGTATTGAGGTCAGCTGGTTTGTGTTCATCTGCATCTTGTCTATGGCTTGTCTGAGTATGCCAATTCCTCGCAGGGGCTGTCAGAAATTACATCTCTTTCAGATAATTTCTCATAGATGGCAGCACATTGGATCTTATGTTGACACTTACAAATGAAAAATAACACTAATTGATAGGTTACATTTAGTAACAATCACGCTGAGGTTCCCCCTTCCTTGTAGGATATTGCAGTCCCTTCTTAAGAGATAAAATTAACCTTTGCTATTAAATAGCCTTGGTTTGCTTCTCTCGATTGACTATTAAAATTCAGCATTTTTACTGCAGAAAGGCAATTGTTAAGAGCGCATTACAGGGTTAGAACGCTTGAAAATTACATTCTTAAAGGCCTAATCCTGACAACACCAAAAACGTAGCCCTGTTCACTCTCAAGTCAAAAGCAAAACTCCCAATTAGTTTCGTTTGGAGGGAACTGGCTTCAAAACTATTTTGACTCATAACAAAGTGACTAGAAAGCTAACAAAGGAGATTCTCAGAGCTCTTTGTTTAGCCAGTCCACTCTAAATGGTCATCATAGTTTGCTGTATATTTTAACACGCCTATTCAGAAGGCTGGCTCATATGAAGGTAATGCTGAAGCCAGTAACAAATGACTGACCAGTATCAATTATTTTGGTACAATCACTTGTTTGTATTGTCTAAAGAAATTCAGCTCCATCAAAAGTTAATGAGCTAGTGATTTCCTATTTTGTGTATGTTCCATATCATGGTTTATTTACCAGTGCACTAAAAAAAAAAAAGTAAAGGCATTTTCTTCCTTGTATTATTTCTCTTAAATAACTCTTAAAAATCTAGTTTTGGATCCATTACCTTCTTGTACATATACAAGCAACAATCTGCACAGAAATGCTTTCTTGTTGCTAATTTCTCAGTAAGTCTCAATAAGACATTAAGCCTACTATGAACAAATTAAGAACTCAGATATATATAGTCTAATTATTACTACTAGGTAAAATATGCTTACCTGTTTTCTTTCCACAAGGGCATTTGTTAACTGGTGGCAGAGGCCAGCAACTAGATACAATAATAAAAAAGTGAAAAAAAAATCACAAATACCAACTATATGAAGTTTAGATTATGTAGGAGTACAGAACAAATTGAAGTTTAACTTACAAGTGTCTGTTGCATATCTAATGTGTTCCCCATTACAAGTGCTGATAAAAAGCTGGACCTGTGAGAATAATGTTTCGAAATCAGGGACACTTGGCATAGAAAACTTCACAAACCTAGAACAAGACAAAAAAAATTAAACACTTAGTTTCTGTAAAAAACTAACGTATTACCCTGCAAGTATCTCTGCATAGACAGGTAAACGTCAACTGTGTTGGGCTAACTGCAAAATACGTATTGTGGATTTTTCCAGTTTGGCATACTAAAACCTTCCAATCCAAGCTTGAGTACCCTGACAATAAACAGTCCATGGCTTTACGGAATTAAACTTTGTAAGTATGCCGTCTCAGCTGAGGAGTATAAATGTGTGTTAAACGCACTGAAGACACACCTTTATCTGACAACTACACTAATATTTGTGAATGCGATGAAACCCCCTCACCTCCACACACAGTCTTATGCAAACTTTCATGACAGAGCAAGTTAAACCATGTGAAACAGTGTTCCCTCTTTTTTCCATCCATATAATAAATTTTGTTATGTGCACCAAAGCATGTGTGGATGTGCACCACCAGTAGAAACATATGCTGTTGGCACCCTGCTAATCAGACAGGTGGCATCCAAATCTCTCATGGGTGGCCACCCAAGTGCTTCTCTTACAGGGAACGTTGACATGAAGTAGTAACTTTAAATAGCATGAAGATTAAGAGCAAACTTACACAAAAATCAACCATAGAACTGCACCACATAGTCCACTCCCTTCACATTCCTCCACACTAAGGACACTCACAGTGCAAACTTGCCTTGACTATTTCTCTGATGAAGTCCTCACCGAAGCATTCAGCACACTTCTTGACTGCTGCAAAACCTTACTGCTACAAAGCCTACTTACTCTATGGCCTCCTTAAATTCCAACATACCTGTGAAACCTCATCCTGAAAATTTCCAAGCACATATCCTCATTCCACTTACTGTCCATTTATTTTAAAATGTAGTTAAAACTGTCTATATTCTTCAACTTAATTTTACTTACTGCAGATAGCGTCTAACATACTTGCTATTCTGCTTCTTCCCTTACAAAAATCTTGCCACTATTCTAAACTGGAGCTACAGTGTGAAAAACTTGCGCTATTTTCCTGTACCTCTGACTCGTTTAATCCATCCATTCAAATAATCTTTTGAACATTTCTTCTGACAGTTGCCCTTCCTCCTCTTACTTGTTTTTAATAACTAAATGTTTTAATTGACCCACTCCATTTTCACCATTGGTGAGGCATGATAAAGATTGTGTCCTTTTTAAAAATTTTGCAGTGCATTTTGGGATCCAGCTTGCATAAGATGCAATACAAAGTGAAGTAGTATATTTGCTAATTGTATTTACGATATTCTATTTGTTTCAAAGTGAGATTTGAAACAAGAGGTAGGTTCCTAACAGATTAAAGTGGGTTTTTTGTTTGTTTCAAAGCTACTTTATAGAATCCCAATAGTAAAACTTGTAAAGACATTTTCCTTGAAGTTATGTTATGTTAGGAAGGGAAGATGGCTTCAAGCTCTATATCCAAACTCTCTACATACCATTTTTAATAACTCATCCATACTGCAACTCCCTACAACAGTTCAACTGCTCTCTCAACTTGCATAATAGATGGGCACAATACTAGCTAAGAAACTAAGATAGCAACCCACACTTCTTCATTAATGAACTGACATCCTCCTTAATATTATTAATAGTTTGTTAATATTCTATTTAAAAACATTTGATATCTTTGTTGAACCAATGAGTATGAATAATTATCTATGCAGATCTTTTACATGTAATAAGAAGCAGATGTTGCTCATAAACAACCCTTCTTTAGAACTGTGAGTCAGGGTATTTTACCAATTTCAGAACTGGAATAATGCAAAAATTAAACACATATAAGTCAATACTTTATTTGTAAAAAGGAAGTATAGTATAAGAAAAAAAACAATTAAGCACCTGAGTGAAAATGCAAATAATATTTTTCCCCTATCAAGTCATCATACACTGGATGAAATTTTGGAAATAAGTAAACTAGCAGACTTACCCGGTGTTGCCCAGATACTTCAGGGCGGGAGGGGTAGGAGGTGGCAAACCCTTGGGTCTGGATGTGTGCGCACGTGCAAGAGTGAAGATTGGGGGATGAAGAGAGGCTCAAGGTGGGAGGTCCCATCTAGCATGGAATTTCTCTGTCTCCCTCCCTGACCCCCAGGGACCCTTTTCTCTCCCCTCCCTGGCTGCCAGAGGCCATTTACTCCCCCACCGACAACACTATGGCAAAAGGCCGGGGGGCTACTTACTTGGTGTGCTCACAGGCAAGATGAGGGAGCCCCAGACCTGCTGGCCACTCCCTTGGTGGTACAGGTGCCCCAGTGGGCACTCTGCAGGATAGCTCTCCCCTCCAGGCTCACTGCCGAGTGACCACTCTTATATCACATCCCTCTGAACAGCACTCCTCCCCCCCCCCCGGCATATTATGGAAAACTGTCCTTCTCCTGGGGCTTCTGGTTCTCCTGGCACAACCAAACCCTGACCTTGCTTTAAGTTAGAAGAGAAAGCAGTATACCACAGTTTGCTAGCCACAGTTCTTACCATTTAGGAGGAGCTCTTGAACAAACGGACTCGCAGACAGACACTCAGACGCACACTCTATAAAATATATATAGATTAAGCCTTTATACAAAGGAAAGGCTCACTTACAAAACAGCAAGAACCCCTAAGGAGTGTTCTTGAACATCCAGGGCACCAAGCACTGTATCCAGATGGGAAAGATTTTTTGCTAGCAGTTCCCCGCTCTTATTGATCAGTTCACAAAGCTGGGTCATTTGCCCTGAAATATGAAATACTGCTGTCAACATTAAGTTAGAACAACGAATACAATCAATTAAAACAGTCCACAAGTCCTCATTTTAACAGTTTCTTAAGATGATTTTAAAAGAGCAACTTCATCAAGTGAAGTAGTTAAACCAACTAGTTTGTTGCTAGCAATAGTCACATTTTCAGGAATACAATCTCTCTGACTAATGAGGAGACTCAATAACTTAAGCTCTCACTTTTTTCAAAATTGAGTTTACAGCTGCCAGAAGATTTACAGAATGTAAACCAATGCAGTGTAATTATCCTGAGTCCATAGACAGAAGTGAGTGTCACCGCAGCTACTGAGTTTTGCCAAGCACAGGAAGGGAGTTTCACATTTATGGACACACATGGAAAGTTCATCCACACAAAGTTGTCCATGAACAACAGTCAGTAGAAGTCTCATCATCCTCTACCTCCTCCAGCACCTGAGGTGCCAGGAAATTAATCTTCTTCTCAAGGTGCTGCTCCTGAACCTCAGCTTCCTGAATATCCAATCAGTTTTTTCAGCCTTGTCCATAGTGGTCTAAAATATTTAGATTGTTTGTAACGCCTACTGTAAAAAAGATTGGACAAAAATCTCTTTTCCAATGTACTGTGTGTGTTCAACAAGAGACATCCAGACACCTATACTTTTCTGCTTGGGAGAGTCAGCACAGTATGGGGAAAAAGAAAAACATCTGAAATTAGAGAGAGTTAAATCTGTAAAAATTGTCAGAAGAATCAGAGGCAGATGCTGTATCTCAAACTGTTTTTACTTTATTTTAAAATCCCTGTTTTTTTAAAAGATGTCTGTGGTCTCCTGAAGCAGACTTGGTTCAACTGTCTTATTCTGAGACACTAGATGCAAATAGAATCAAGGGTCTAAACCAGGGACGGGCAATAATTTTTGATGGGGAGCCACTCCAAGGGTGCAGAAGGGACCTCATGTAGGAGATTGGGAATAGAGATAGAAAAGTTTAACTGGTTATCAGGTAAGCAATAGTCCTGCCGGCATGCTTACCCAGTAACAGATTAACCGGCAGAAGCAGCCCGGGGCTGGCAGGAGCAGCTCCTCACCCACAGCAGCTGCTGGAACAGAGCTTCACCTATAGAGGGCTGGGATGGAAGAGTCTCCTGTCTGCAGCAGGCTGGCCAGCAGGATCCCAGCCACATGGGCCTCTGTTTTGATGTAGTCCCCCAACCATAGGTCCCAAGCTACTCTGCATCAGCCCTCCACAGTTAAATTAAACAATTAAAAGTAAATTGTTTAACCGGTTAACTTTTTTAATGAGTATGTACATCCTTAATTGGGATGGAGGAGGGGCTGTGGGGTCTGGGACGGAGTTTGAGTGAAGGAGGGGGTTGTCACCTGGGGCAAGGGATTGAGGTGCAGAAGAGAATTTTGACCTGGAGGACGGGTGTAGAAGGTAGTGATATTAACTGGTTAACGGGAGCTGCTCCAGTTCCCACCACAGGCAGATGGCTGCACCAGCCCCATGAGGCTCACTGCGGATAGGGGCACTCCAAACCAGCCAGAGCAGACCTACTCCAGACACATGGAGCATGCCTGGCCCATCGCAGGCAGGGGTCCTCCTGCCCGTTTGGAGAAGCTCCTGATTGCAGCAGGACCAGCCCCAGCCCACTGCAGGCAGGAGTGCAGCCTCTCACTGCAGCACACCACTTTTTTCCAATGAACTAATTAAACAGGATTTTAAATCCTTAATAGGAGGGGGTGCAAGGTCTGGAAAGGAATTATGACCTTGGTGCAGGAGAGTGCAGAAGATCTGAGTTACATGAGGTAAGGGTATAGGAGGGGAGTCTGAAGGAGGGAAGGGCTGGGATGCCAGAGACAGGCTCTGGTTGGGAGGGAGAGGTGCTGATTTAGGTAGCTCTTGGTCATGCCCCCACCTGCTGCACAAAGCATCTGGTTGTAGGAGCCATGTGTTCCAAACCCCAGGTGTGGAGTATATTTTGCATGCTGCCTGCCTGCAAATAGGCAACTCCCATTGGCTAGTTTCCTGAAAGATTATGCTGGTGGTGTGGTAGCAGGCAAAGACTCTCTTCCCTTCTCCCCCCTCTAGTTTGCAGTGGTGCTCAGAGAGGCCCATGGCCCCCACAGCCAGCCACTAAGTGGTGTGAGGGGGCAGGTTAGTATTTCACCCACCCCTGGTTTAATTCTGACCTACTAGAATCTTTAAAAAAGATACAAACATTGTTCTCATATCACCTCTCTAACCTTTTCCTCTAAATTAAGATTACAGGATCAAGCTTCTCAATTATGGAAATTTAGTTTTAAGAAATGGTCTCAGTACAAAACTAGAAACTCCGGAACTGCAATTTTAGCTCTAATAATAACTCCCTCTGTGGCTCTAGGGCTATTACTTAATGTATATATCCACCCTAATGGATCAGTGTAGTTTCTAATCCTCTCAGTGAAGTTATATAATACTGTGCAACTATTAAATAGACCAGTTAATGAAAACTGATTGTAATACAGAAAAGTTATTAAAATCCATCTGCTCCATCAGTATCAGCCATCAAGCTATATACATGACCTAATTCTTAAACAAGTTCAATTTGATACAGTATAACTGACAGTTAAAATAAATATCAAAAGAAAGTTTGAGGCTCTCTTCCCCAAACATAACTCAGTCTTTAAAGAGATCAAAGGTGGGCTTAATTTTTCTGAGGTAACATCAATCCTTTATCTGTTTCAAGGACGTGAATATCCCACAGAGGAAAAAAAAGGCTGCTCTATGCTAGAAAGTCAGGTCAGCTTAACTAAACTCAGGGCTGTGAAAAATACCATGCCCTATGAGAGGTAATTAAGTTGCCTTAAACTCCAGCATTAGTAGACACTGCGTGGTTGACAGAAGAATTCTTACATCAGCCTAGCTACCACCTCCCTCTCAAAGAGGTGGATGAACTCCTCCTGTCCCAGCAGCAAATGTCTAAGCTACATCTCTGCTGCTGTAGCATTTCTAGCTTAGATATGAAATAAACATGCAAGTAAAGTTCAGGAACTTGCACACATCATAAATAGAGTTTCAGTGCAAGTACAGCAGAAAATTGGGGTTTGACAAGGCTTAGTGTGCAAAAGGCCTTTTAATAAGTTAATAAAGCTTCAATATGTAATCCTAGCAACTTGTATCTCATGCTTCCCTAGATAAATCACAGAACCCAATGGTGGGGATAGAGAAGTCCATAAATCAGCTAGTCTAGAACTCCAGAAGCCAATTAAGGAAAAAATGGGTACTCTACAGTGTTCCCTGTAAGCTGAGTGCTTGGGCAGCAGCCCAGGAGAGATTCAGGTGCCACCCAGATGATTGGCAGAGCACCCACTGCTGACCACAGCATGATTCTACTAGTGGTGCACATCACAAAGTTTATTCTGAACATGGAAGGAAAAACTTAGAGGAAACATTGGTACTCTCAACATTTTATGTTCCAGCTCTTCAATAAAATAACATTTCAAAATGACACGCTACCCTCAATCAATACACTTGTGTTACAGAACAGTGATTACCCTTAACTCCAGATTTAGGCTTTCCTAATTTGCAAAACTAAGGTCTTGTCTACACTACAGACCTGTATCAGAATAAAAGGAAAAAAATCAAGCCCCTGAATGACATAGCAACACCAATCTAATCCCCTGTGTAGACAGCACTCTCAGCAGGAGCGCATCTCCCACCAACATACTATTAACTATGCCAACAGGCGAGCTCTCTCCTGGCAGCTTAAGAGAACCTTAATGAAAGTATTGCAGATGCACCGATGCAGCATTTTAAGTGCAGATTTGTACCAAGATTAGGTTTCCACTGTAGCGTAAGACAGGTTCGGATTTGCGTCCAAAGACTTTGGCATTGCTTTCTTATTTATGTGCAGGCCCTCTAATAAGGAACAGATGCCAAAAAGAATGAGCAGCCAGGGGATTAAAAACAGTGGGAAGTAGCAATGGTGCCACACCAGACCCCATCAAATACCACTTCTTAGTCCAAATGAATATGAGAGGGGACATATGCTTCCAGTTCTCAGCTGTCTAAAAAATTCCTAAGTTTTAAGAATTTATGATCACCAAATACAACCTCCTGCATCACAATTAGCTCTGGGGCTCCAAACGCAACTAAAGCAGAATTCCCCCAGGATTAAGAGATGGAGAAAAGAGGTGGTGTAAATCTTCCAGCTAGCCCACAGCTCGTGGTTTAACAAGGTAACAAGAGTGCAGTGGTGCCTGACGAATTTCTATTATGGAGTGAAACAAAATACAGGACTATGTAGCACTTTATATATGGCTGTGACTATTTTCTTCCACTATTTGATCTGAGGAAGTGGGTCTGGCCCACGAAAGCTCATCATCTAATAAACCATCTTGTTAGTCTTTAAAGTGCTGCATAGTCCTGTCTTTAGTTTCAGCAAGACCAGACTCACACGGCTGCATCTCTATCACTATTCTGGGGTGCTGAGAGCCACGGAGCCAAACTGCAAGCGCTCCATACAACGGAGATCACTCCTAGGCAGGAGGTGCAGCAGCCCCCCCGCCCGCCTGTCCCAGCCCCGGGGCAGCGGTGCATCTTTCTATCACTATTCTGGGGTGCTGAGAGCCACGGAGCCAAACTGCAAGCGCTCCATACAACGGAGATCACTCCTAGGCAGGAGGTGCAGCAGCACCCCCGCACGCCCCCCCCAGCCCCGGGGCAGCGGTGC